GGCCTATATTGAGCTTCGGGTATTCAGACAGACACTCATCGTTGTGGAAACTATCTCTCAGAGTATCTGCGTGAATGGTCGCAAGAATTGAGAATGAATGCGGCTGCCGATATACATGTATACTGTCCTCTGGGAGATTCAAAACCTAATGCTAAGCCGGGATCATACACCAGAAGCCCAACCCTGGGAGGATTGGTGGAGCTATCGCGGCACCTCGCAGCAGTTTTTTTTTGGGGGCTTTTATATGCTTATATATATATATATATATATACATATTTCTTTTTACATACACCCATACAATGATACACATGTCTATATATATATATATATGTATGTATATGTACTGGCAACCGAGGCTTCACATATTTTGCAGTTCTTAATGTAGTAACTTGGATTGCATTCAGCAAGATGTGTCTGTTTCTTTATTGCTAGGCTCGGGTGCACCTGCGAAGCACCCGGATCTCTAGGGTTCCTGCAGATCGGGTTTAGGGTTTGGGGTTTAGGGACATATGTCTGCAGCTATGGAGTGTCTGCCTTCATCAACTTGTTCGTCTCTTAGGCGTGATAGCTAGGTTGCTTGGGCCTAGGCTCAATTTTGGCCTGTTTTACCTCCCATGCAACTCCACATGCAGTGAACAAGACTGTGAGCTTGTAAGACCTTTGATGCGGTCCTCCACGCCTGCAGCAGTGTTCTGCACCATTTGGCGGCTGTTCCCCGTAAACTCTTGAGCAGTTTGATGGAGGGGGGCCTTCAGCAACTTTTTTCCTGTTTTCATGAAGCTGAGGTAACTGCGGTGTTCTGCCAATCTGCAATAGAGTCCGCCCAGAAGGATCATGCGACAGTTGTGCAGAACATGATCGACAACAAGGAATCGCACCTGGACAAACTCCGTACCCTTTTCAGCCACTTCGACTTGCAAGAGTGTGAGACCGTGTCATGCCATTCGACACAAACCAGAGTGACCCGACACCTTGGAAAAAGTCACGGACACTTAGGCAAGCTGGGTGCCGATAGAACAGGCGGCATCACATTGCGCATGTTCGAGGAAAAGATCAACTCCCCATCTGTCCGGGAGTATTTCGACCCTTGGCTGGGATTTAGTGTCGAACCTAAGCTTCCTGCTGGATTTCTTGTCCCAAGTTCGATTGTGCTTCATGCACATCTAGGACAGGCTTTAAAGGATCAGTTGCTACTGTCCGAAAAGTTCTTTTGGACACGTGTCCTAGGAAAAGGTTTTCGTCTTCCCTTTTTTTAGCACGTACTCGCGGCACTCCCCCGACCACCCCAAGGAGACATTGGGCTTGGACATTTGGGATACCTGGTCTTTCTTCAAGCTCCTGGACGCAAATCTCGGTGGCGTTGTGGACTTCGAGGTCTCGCAGAGTATTGGGCGGCTCACACAGTTCACGTACACAAAAAGTAGAGTTTTTAAAGGTTGTCGGATGCAAAGCAAGAGCAGAGATAGTGCCGATGCGGGATCGATCATTCAGATGCACGTTCTTTGGGCTACTTCTTGCCCGCACTAAACAACTCATAGAAACCGACAGATCTCAAAATAATAGTTAGACTCTGGTTCGACGAGCTTAAGTGCAGCAATACTGTGGACTACTGACCGGCTTTCCGGCTTGCATGAGCCACTGCGATATTTCCCGGGCAGGAGTTCTTCATGGGCTGTTTGAGATTCAGCGGAACCGCATCGGCCCTGGACCTGGGCATCTTGGTTGCTGGCGGCCTGTTGCTGCAGAATGTTTGGCAGGAGTAAAATTAAGTAGGAGCCGTCGGTGTATCTGTACTACTGCGAGTTCGGGAGGAACTTACAAGCAGAATAGTAGTAGTAAGGCATTCGTTTGGAACGGTAAGAATCGTAGTAACAGCAACAGTATTCGTGCACGCCGTAGTTGTTTTAATGTTTTAGTAGACACCTGGCAATATGTTATACAGTACTAGTCTAGTGATACATGTCGTAACGGCATGGTAACCGTGTCGTAACGGCATAGTCGTAACAATTACCCCGACAGTGTGCTACACACTAGCGGTTGTTAGACTGGGTGTCAGGAGGCTCGGTTAGTGCAGCCGTGCGTGTGGTGAGGTGTCTCTCGATCCTGCCAGTGCGTGGAGGGAAGCAGTGCGCAAAACGCGCGGCAACTAGGATTTGCCTGGCAGCTGAGGCAAGATTAGCCAAGATCAGGCGTGGCTCATCAGGAACCAAGGGAAGTTCCAGAAGTTTATGGATGCTCGGCCAGAATATTGGATTTTCGGAAGAGCTGCAGCGATGCGGATATGTATACATCCTCCTCGAATGTTTGTTTAACCCGCTGCCGTCACAGAGCGACTCGTCAACTGAGCGTGCTCCGCCGGAGAGCTAAGAAGGACTAGGAGGGGCTGGGGAAGGCTACCAGGTCGGCCCATTATTACAAAGATGCGTGTCGCTGCGTCCCATTTGCTCCCAGGAAGAGGAATTGACACGGCTGCGAGGGGAGATGTCAACCATGTCGGACTTCATCAGCTCCCTGTCCCGCGGAGTATCCTGTGCGCAAGTCTGACGGCAGATATCTGCGCAGGTGATTAAATCCTCATAAACCCTAAACCCTAAACGGTCGAGGGCTCATGTCAATTTGCATCGCGCCGACCAGACACTGTGAGACCTCGCTTGGCATGTCCGAGTGTAAACCCCTAATCCCTAAACCCTAAACCGAAAGGCCCTAAACCCTAAACCCAAGGGCATTAAACTCTGTTGCAAAACTACCATTTAGCTCTTCACGGCTTCCCAAGGATCCCGTGATTGTTTTCAACAGCTCTGCACATCCTCACTAGTGGTGACACAATTCCCAACATGTCATCGTTGAGAGGGTGCCGAAATACTAATTATAGCACAAACTTGCAAGGCACCGTCTTGCTGCTCGCTTCAATTATCGTCTGTGTGTGTGTGTGTCATGTTGCAGCTGTAGACTTGTCTTCTCCGCATCAAGCTTTTTGTGCTCGAGATCCGATAACCCTCAATTCAGCATCCGTCGCTCTATGAGTTCTGACGTATGTAACCTGTCGTCATGCAAAAGAAAAGGTTGTGCTTAGTTGCATCGCGGTTTTTGTGCGGGAGGATTGCTTCCCTTGGCGGCTTGTCTCACAAGCCCGCCCCCATTTTAGAGCACAGTTCTTTTCCAAAGCAGGGCCAGCACTTCGACATGTCGGTTTGCATGCGGCTATGGCCACCAGGGCATTTTGTGACTTATCCATGTCCGTCAGCTTTCCATCATTTCGGCCTTTGCTCATTGTGGCTGTAGTATGCCTGAGGGATCCGACCGGATCAAAGTGTGTTTAAGGAAGGGCCAGAGGCCCCTGGTACAGACATCTGCATCTGCAGTGCTATGTGGAGTATCCGACAGTCGAAGTGGTGTGCCCGTGGATCTCAGCGCTGAGTGAGAGGTTCTGCAGTCAATTATTTCATACTGTACACTCAGACATTTACGTCGCGGCCAGATGTTCAGACACGGTCGCAGCAAAGCATCGGACGTCACTCCGTGGCCAAAAGTTCAAGACAAGGGTCCCTGGTCCTTCTTTTGATTGCATATGAGATAGACTTCATGGCTCGGGCTCAGGTTCACGTAACACGTGGTCTAGGGTCGAAACTTTGTTCGAGGCTTGTGTTTTGCAGCAGCATGTCGCGTTTCTTGTGCACAATGTGGGCTTGCTTGCAGAACAGCCGCCGGTTGTTTGCTGCCATGTACCTCAAGAGCAAGCACATCATGGCTGCATGTGGATTCAGGTGTAGTCAGCAATCTGCGCTCAATTCGAGAACTGAAGCTTAGGACATATCTATTCGGGCCTCTGTGCAATTTCAACTGCGAGACTGCGCACCAGACAGAGTAGGCATGCCCTGAGGCTCACCGTTGGCATTTCCTGACACAGAGAAACGGGAGTTTCCGAAAATAAGGGGTACATGATTTGGGGTCCTTTATAATAAGGATCCTATTATTTAGGGTACTATATTAGGGTCCCCTATTTTCGGAAACCCCCAAACTGATTAGCTGTTAGGCCTCCGCGGCCACCTGTGTTTGCCAAAGCGATGCCAGAACCGTCAACAGCGAGACGGAAGCAGGCGCCAGTGAACCGGCTAGCTACTGTGTATGGGTGGTTCAGAGCGAGGCTGCAACAGTATGTGCTACAAGCAGCTATGTGGAATATGCACATATGCGTGTATATATATATATATATACACACATACACACGTATGTATGTATGTATGTATGTATGTATGTATGTATGTATGTATGTATGTATATAGACTTATACATATACACATACACACAAATAAACATACAGACAGAAAGGCAGACAGACGGACGGACAGACAGACAGACATGTACACACATACATACACACTTGCAGAACAGTTGGGCGCGTACATGTTTGTTGCTGCCACCTTGATTTTGCTATCCAGTGATACCTGCATGCGATTGGGCGGGGCTTTGAGCTGTTTGAACCTACAGCTCCTTCTCAAGAACCAAACCTGCCTACTAAGAACCTGAAGCCCCAACCCCCTGCACTTGATCAGGGCTCCTACATCGTGCCGGAGGCTTGACTGTGGAGTTGCCACATGACAGGGCTTCGTGCTGAAGGGAGCTGTTCGTTTTGAACTCCAGGCTTGTTGCTTGGATGCTGGCATGAGCACACAAACTGCTGCAGACCAGTTCATTGGAGCTCGACAAAGCCAAACCAAATCAATGCAGAAAACCGTTCTGTGAAGAGACTGTACGTTGTTCTTCATCTTCAACCTTGGGAAAAGCCGTATTGCAGACAGGTTGCACACAAGCAGGCAATAGCATAGGGAAGAATCTATACGCAGAATACCAAAGCTCCGTAGCGGTGGCCTGGTACAACCAGGAGACCACACACGCTTGTCGATTGAATGTTGGGTTTTGCTCTGCGACGTGTTCGCCATTTGTGATTGAACATGATGCGTTTTTTGTCTGAGCATCTGGCGGCATCACGAACCTCCCTTGAGCACGACACTAAGTTTAGCTGAAACAGAATTTCACAAGCCCTGTGCAGTTTAGTCCCGATCGCCAGGGTCCAGATGAGTTTCCTCTTTTACAGTCGGCCGATTTGGCGACGACTCCCAGCTGCAAGTCTTGATGCTTCAGGCCTTTGAGGTTTCAGTGGCTTCGTGACCCGCAGAGTGACAAGAGTGTTGCAACGAGTTCGGCCAAGAGGAAGGAACTGACGACTGAATGTGCGACCGTATGGCTTATTTACAAAGAGTTCCAGAAAGTACCAGAAAGTAAGGGTTTCGAGCATTGTCCACAGGGCTGGTAGATGACCAAGCTAGCTTGAGCCGAACATCCTCGGGGCAAGGCTGTCGACATCTGACAGCCGTAAAAACCAGTAGCACATAAAGCCGAGAGCTTCATCCCGCCACCGGACACCCTCAGCCCGCATGCCCCGGCAAACCAGCATTTGGATGATGAGAACTGCGACCATAGTAAAGTGCATGGTGGTTTGTTGGTTGATGTGGTGTCGACACTGACATGGGTCAAGAAGAGGATACTTGTTCATAGATCTCATGTTTTTGGTGCTAGTGGTGCCAATGCAGCTGGTGATGTTGGCATTGTTGTCGATGGTGGTGGTGGTGGTGGTGGTG